CGCAGACCGTGACTGTAGTAAGTTACCGTAACCATAGAATACAGTGTCATTAACCGAGAGGAATGGAAAACAAAATACAACCGCAAAATATGGCGCGCTTTCTTGTTTCTGTGGTAAGGCAGTATGATTGCGAATTAATGTTGCCGTTCTCCGTGTACCATTCTGTCCTCATTCTGTCTGCGGACAAGTATATGCCGCTCAAATGCAAGAACTTTCCCCACTAACAAACCTTACCCATACATAAAATGCACTTTTTAACAATTTTAAATAACGAAATATGTAATTAGTATTCTGGAGGTACGGTTCTACCCCTGACTATTTTTCAAGTTGTAATTTGTCCGTTTTGGAAACCATCATTATGATGATTTTTAACAGCGCCTCTTTGCACAAAATGGTGATGTTACTTCTGAAATGTAACTATGGAAACAAGCATACGGTGTCACCAATCAACATCACCGATAGAAGCTAGGGGTTATGATCCACATTTATGCATCCAAATCATTGTGTCCCAGCAACGACCTTTGTTAGTCTGGGGGTTATTTATATAGCTGGCTGAAGGATGTATCAGAGAATCCAATAGAATCATATGCATGGATGGTGGCCGTGATATGAATGTAGTGAGTTACCCATTGCTGCTTATTTGAACGACACAGCACTGTGGTAGTACCAACAGTCGCGAGTATGTTAAACTACCGAAAATATGGCGACCATTTTGAATTTTCAAAAATGGCCAATATACTATACAAATGACTAAAACAAAAACTGTTTCGGGTAACTTAAGTTTGTTCTTAGAACTTAAAAAAGTGTCAGCCGCATATGTGTCCTTCCGTCTTCTCCGTCATCACTTGCATAAAATCATTATCGCGCGAGAATCCACTGTCTGAACTTTTAAATGTGTGGACGTGTTTGAACAGTTAGCACATGCAGTCCAAGATCGGGTCGTTAGGGAGAAGACATTTACGCGATTGACAGATGGATGACAAAATCACGGTCATCATTCTCGAGGTGCTACTTGTTTTTCGTGACGAGGTGTTGATATTCTCACTTTATCCGACGTACTTGAATGTCTGCTTCTTAGGCAACGGTCACAGACGTCCAATTCACACATTTTACGTACTTGGATTGAACCATTTAGTTGAGGGGTGAAACATAAAATAAAATGGAATGAGAAATATTGGTTGTAGAGTACTTTTTCAAATTTTCTATTACTAGTGTTCTACAAAGTTTTTTTTATATTTTGCGACAACTGACTATATTAAACAAGTATTGTGGTAAAAGACTTGTTGCTCGAATGTCTCACATCTCAGTGTTTCTGAATGGTTTAGTCCAAGGAACTTAACTGGCTCGATTTACAGTCGACTGCAGATCGGCTTCAAATGAGATGTCTCCCTTACTTTCCTTCCTGCCACAAAAGTCGAACTGTTCTCATGAAGTAGTTTCGGAAAGTGAATTTATTTTGCTCTGTCACACCAACATTTCAATTTGGTCGAACTAATTTGAAACCTTGGCGCACTATTCGTGCGGAATAACAGAAAAATACAGACAATATATATATGCACCGTATGCACCTTTCTCTCCTGTTAGGGTATACTGTTAAATAGCTACACGCCATTTTAGCGAATTTGACTCCATGCATGAATTAACTGAATCTTAATTTAGCTAAAGTGACATCAATCTCATTGTGAGAATATACTTTATTCTAAATTAGTGACATTTTGAATTAGCGAAATTACAGATTAGCAAAATTAGCTAAAATATCATGCTAGCTAAAAAGACATGTTTTACAGTATGCTTGATATATTTATGCAACGTTACGAAAACGAAAGATATTAGCGTCAGCGTATGTATCGGAACTCCGGCATTACTAATATGCCAGCCAGCACAAATGACAAAGGACGAGTTAGTAGGTTCTGTCGTTTAAATAAAATACAATGCGGCAATACTTCTGTGTAGATATCGACTTTTGACTGTATTCACTTATTTATTTAGTTCCCAAGTGTAAACATCCCGCGTTGTGAAAGAACCGCCACCACGTGTGACTGCTTTCGGAAAGTTAGACGACCTGTTTGTTTATTTTGTTCAAATATCAAGATTTAGAAGGTTTTTTGAGTCAATAGACTCACTGTTATAGCCATCTTTGATTTGATTCTAGTACAAATGTTTGAAGGGTCCTTAAAGGGGTTATGGCGGCTTTGTCGAGATTAGTGACACTGTTTAAATATAAACGTGACGGGATGAACCATTAGTATGTGCATATACCCTCTTTTAGAGGGTCTATGGTATGTGTCAGTATATATTTTTATTGGAGATACTTTTTAATTCTAATTAATTGTTTCTTGATTTGTTTTTAAATAATTTGTTTTATAATACAGTGTTGGTCAATTTGGGTGTGATGACCTTATTGTGTACAATTTCCATGTTCCATACCATGACCTTTACGTATGGGAGTATCACTACTTGGATTGTTCCGTGTTCTCGAAAACTTCTCACTATGATCCCAGGCGGCGTTGACCAAGATCACAGGGCCACTTCACATAATTAATGCTTTGGGCCAATTAATGAGACGCTCTTTGACCAGCCTGTGTGCGGTGCCGCGGTTTACACAAGAAAACAAAACCTTGTCGGTAAACGAAGCCTACTGGCACCTGGCTGAAAGGCGACCGGTCTTTAGCGAATAAGCGCCGCATCTTTTGAAGATCTCGGCACCACATTTACACCACGGATGCATGAAGGCACCCCTGTTCACGCAACCACGGCCCTTTGTTTATAGTTGCAATATACGTACGCGTATCAACACAATTATAGTTGCTCCGCTGTTTTATTTAACCGCCACGACAGTATTTAGTATATTTATATGGGCACTACACTGTAAGAGTGGATAGACTCGCAATAAGTTGATGAGGTAGCTGACTACGACAACCGACATTTTCAAACCTCCTGATTTCACGGCCACGAGAAGAGAACATCGCAGCGAATACAAGAATTTCACGGTACGCACCCCCATTACCAGGTAAAGACACTTGTTGCTCGGCATTATTTAATTCAGCTTCATTCTTGCTATAAATTGTATTATAAACCACAAAACCACTGTGAAGAAATTGACCACTGGGGAGGTTAGTTACAGTGACGAATAGGAAGTGCTATTGGTCCGTGTACGAGAATCGCTTTGTAAAATTCCTGGCTGAAATGCTCGTGAAATGTAACTTTTGAGGAATGAATGCGAGTCGGCAAAGCAAAGTGGACTGACTTTTTATATTTTTTTTCGTAATTTATCACCGAAGGAGAAATGAATCGCAGGTTTTGGATTCCTTCCTTCTTTGGTGTGTTATTAAGTGATGGTAGTGATGTTTCAAGTGAGTGCATACTATGCGTAGTAGGTTCGAAAGAACTGTAGAATGAGGGTATGCATTGCCTCCTGTTTCAATGTATATTACAATATATCAAAACGATTTCGCGCAATAACTTCAAAACTGAGTAATGAATTGAAGACACTAGTATATTCTACCAATTCAAGTCACGCCCGGGAGCCACGCGTACAGTTTAGGTGGATCTCGTAGTCGTTTGAAATGCCCAAGGTAAGTAATAAACAAAACAAAAGCATCCAATAACGAAATTTTGCCGGGAAAACCGTACAGCCACTTCGAGGCCGCAAAGACCTGAGAGGATGTCGTCATTATAAAAAAACATACTTCCATACATACATACATACATTTCAGCGATTTGAGACAACAACACAATCGCAACAACTAATTTAATGCATTTTGACAATTTGAAAATAGCTGGAATGGACTGGTTTAGACGTTATGGCATTAGCTGTAAAACAAGTACGATGTAGTACCAGTATTTATCTATTTTGTCGTATAAAATAGAATTGCCCATATAAACAAGATAATGGACAGCGTTTGCAAGCATGTGCATAAAGTTCGATATTTAAATTAACCTCGTATGTTTTACGCGTTGTAGAGAGTTCATTTAGCGCAACACAAATACAGGTAAGTCCCCCAAACTCGTGTCAGCGATGTTTTGCCGGTTAGCATGGATGCAAGCTACAAATAAATTTACGTTTTTGGGGTTTTAAAATGTAAATTCTCGGGAAGATCATCATTTTTACCGCGTATCGAATTGAAGTGACTAGGATAACAGTTTAAGACCGTAGATTGTAAAAAAAATATACATTTGGTTTTAATGAGATAGCATTGATTACTTCGCGGTAGGTCGTAGACAGAGAGAAAGTCGGTGAGTGCGGGATATCGAATTATATGTCAACACCGTGGTCCCTGGATGACTCCGCCATAACACGTACATGTACATTGATACATTATAAAGTAAACCGTATTTAAGGTAGGAGCCTACTCATGAATGAAAATACACAAAAGTTGCCAATTTTACAATACATTGAACTCACAGTCAATATAAGAGTATCGACTTACAACAAATGTGGGGTTACCTATTTTTCGAGAAATCGGTTGTTAAGTTTTGGTGAATGCAGGCTATTTGATCAGTATTAGAAATATTTCTTTCGTAACCATGATGAAGATATGCCGAATTGTACTAACACAGGATAAACAAATTATTGATCATGAATGATATGGTACTTTTTTGATATCCTGATTTATTTCACAAATCTGTGCTTTAAAAAATTATAAACACAATAGTTTGACAGATGTTCGGAGACCCGTTGCGATCATATACATATTTGTCCTCCAAGACCTACACCAACCAAATATCAGCTTACGTCTCAGATAGCTTAAAGGGCGGTAGTCGTCGTGCCGCGTCCTGTTCGACATGGGACTCATAGCGACGTATACAACGCGTGTAAAATACATTGTTTATTTACATGAAATTCGAACACGCGCTGCGCGACGACCACCGCGCTTTAAGTGGAACCGTAGACCCTGAAACCTTAAACTTCTTAGCATTACATAACCGCATACAAAACCTTATAGGCGGATGTACTTCAATTGAGACTTAACCGGTCATGCAACCTTCGTACCACGCAATGTTGAACAGACCGGTTACAAACATAGAACACGTTACTGTGTAATTAGTCCACATCGCGGCAATAGGCTCGCATATATGCATCGCACAGAACACAACGCTCAAATACAGTTTGGAAAAATATAAAAACCACACACAAGCTACATGTTATATCACATTCTGTGGTTATATATAACATTCACTCATTTTGGTACCTCAGGGGAGGGGGTTGAGCTGAATAAAATATGGTACGCAATCTGAAGTAAAAAAAAAAACGCGCAAAAGAAGTGTTATTTAGGTATTTGACGCGTGTACCGTATTTAGGGTGAAAAAATGAATCTCATGAATTCCTGTTACCTCAACTTTGAAACACTATGATTTTAGTATGTATATAGGGCATCTATTTTAAGTTTTTGCTCTTGAAAAGGGGGTATAATTTCACAAAAATAAGTACGTGTTTTTTGAAAAGCTAAACTTCAGCATGGGTACCAGGTCTGATTTGGAGTACCCCCTGCGTCGGTACCCAATAAGCTGGGCGTCTTGAGACTCGGTTGAAACAAATGAACGACTACAATTTGTTCGGTTGTCAAAAGTATAAACGCATTAATTACCCACTGGAGTATTTTCGCTGATTGATGACACCCGCCGAATCGGACAACTTGTATAATTCCAGTGGATATGCTCACGATACCAACACAGTGAAATCAAATACATGTGACAATTAAGGCCTTTACAATATGCGATGAAGCCACGTGGTGAGCTATACGAGTGATGTATACTTCATCATCAAGGCCACAATTCGTGATTGAAGGTCAGGTCCGACGCAATTTACAGCCTTTACTCTTTCGATCGAATGATTACAAGTGAGTGGCTTTGAAAAGGCAACTTCCGGCACAAGAATCCACCACACAGAACATGTGAATCTGGCGACAATACGATGTGGATATATTTCCCAATCGCCTTAACTATCGCGACACAATAAATAAATAAAAATTATATATCGATACCAAAATGAAGAAAAACTGAATAACGGCAAATCAAACCGAAGAAACAATTGTCCTCAATAAACAAAGCCACAATTAATTAAACATAGAAATAAAAACAAATATTAATCACATAAAACACATTAACTAAATGGCAATATATCAATATAACAACACGATAATATGACATACCACGTAGCCATATTTTCAGGTATTTCAGGAAGTCCGGTGCACACAAACACTTCCGAGAAAACAAATACGAACGGTATTTAAAATGTCACCCAGTTCTACGCAACGCGGAAGAAAGCGGTGCTGATTTTATTAAGTGGGTCAGGAAGTTTATTGGAGTAAAGGACGCGATAACATGCTTCTAAAAATATAGATAATAACACGTTATGGCACAGCAATGAATGTATCGCGTGGCTGTTACTGATTCTGACCGTAAAGTCCACGAATAAAACATTGCGTGAAAATTAATGTTGTGTAGATGGATTACTCTCAGTGTTATTATGTGCGCCATGGTACTAATACTGATATTGTTAGAGGTTTGGAGGGATACATGATGTTCGCTTGTATACGAGTGGCGCTGTTTACAGCGAACTTTCCCCCAATTCCATTCCAACTTCTACGGAGACTTCGTCCTTGGTACGAAAGGGACTACGACAATTTTTCATAGAAATCGTTGTTTTTGTATTTACTTACGTATTTACTTACTTATTTTTTCATGGCTAGTGAACTCCGCATTGACGAAGATTCATCAAGCATTTCACATGAGCATGAAACACTGCTTTTCAGACCGATCCGGACAGCCCTTTGAAGGTCATTGCGTTTGCGGTTTTGATGCCGAATAGGGTCCTTCAGTTTTATCACTAGACAATAAAATCTGCTGGCACCGATTAGTATATTGAAGAAAACTGCATGTACAAGATGCCATCGTCATTTTTGCCCTCGGAGCTATTGTAAAATTCACCTTGACTCAAGGGCCATCAGTTCCCCATCACACAAACGGGCGCCTTGACTCAAGGGCCATCAGTGCACCATCACACAAATGGGCGCCTTGACTCAAGTGTCACCGGTTCACCATCACACAAATGGGTACCTTGACTCAAGGGCCACAGGTTCACCATCACACAAATGGGCACCTTGATTCAAGGGCCATCAGTTCACCATCGCACAAATGGGCACCTTGACTCAAGGGCCACAGGTTCACCATCACACAAATAATCACCTTGACTCAAGGGCCATCAGTGCACCATCACACAAATGGGCGCCTTGACTCAAGGGCCATCAGTGCACCATCACACAAATGGGCACCTTGACTCAAGTGTCACCGGTTCACCATCACACAAATGGA